ACTATATTTCAATTAAAAAAAGAATTATGTGCAAAAAATACTGAATTATTCATATTAGTACTTTGATAAGAGTGTGCTTTCTGAGTTTTTTGTTTAGTAGTGGCATATAGTATTACATTTCTCTAGCCACTCTCTCTTCTGGCCAACAGTTCGTTTGTGGGATCTCTGATCTAGATGACAGGTAGATTTTGTATCTGTGTAGTCAAGTATTGAAGTAGCATTGTGTACTCATTAAGCCAACAGGCATAAAATCCCAGTTTTACCACTTACTAGTTATGTGAACTTAGGCAAGAATTTGACTGCTCTGTGCCTCAGTTTATTCATGTGTAAATTGAAGACACATAACTGTATAAACCTCACGGGATTGTTGGGAGGATTAAATGAATTACTCCATGTAAAGCATTTGGAAGTGTGCTTGATAATCCATAAGTGTTCTGCCATTATTATTTCGCAAGTGTGTTAACTCAAGAAATTAGAAAAGCTATAAAAGTCTTGTCATTCTTAGTAACTTGCTTTAACCACCTGGGCTCCAACTAGCTATACTGACTAACATTTCTCTTTGTGGTGTGATCTATTTGATAACTTAGGAGACTTCTTCATGTGATTTTTCTCCACATGTTTGTAATCAGGTGTAGAGGCAGGATGGAGGACCTCATAGGTGGCAGGACTCCCTCACATGGGGGATGGTTTGTTATCCAGCACACAAACTTCCTCCTTGTTTTGAGAACAGAGCTGAAAGCTGGGTATACGTTTTTTCATCTCTCTGGTGGCTTTTCAGTGCACTGCAAAATTAGCCCACTTTATTAAGTTTGAAGCATCATAAGCATCCTCTTTCCAGATGTCTATTCGAATTTTTTTAAAGGGAAATTCTGTGAATTTCCCTTTCTTTTTTTGAACATCTGTGGGAACTTTATTGAAGCCTAAGAGGTTAAGAAATGTCCAGACATAAGCTCATTCAGTTTGGATGTGGCATTCTTGGAATCACAGTATTTTGATATTAGTTAAAATAATTTTAGTTATGCAAGTGAATTATCTTTATTCTTGCAAGAGAATGAGTTGAATAAAATAGAAACTGGGTTAGCTTATTTGAATAAGAAGTTATATGTATGTATGTATATGTGTGTGTGTTTGTATTTATGTTCAATTCTTACCTCATTATCAGAATTCCATGTAATCATTAATGAATAATTAACCTAATGAGAAATAACATCTGTAAGTATCTTCAGTGTGTTTGGAATCATGTAAGGATTTTATAAAGGCTAGCTCATTTAATCTTCAAAATTAGGAAAATCATGGAATCCAACAGGATCCTGAGAGCAGCGGTCATTGATGGTGGATATTTGAGAGAAGAGCCATTTGTAATTCTTTTTTGACTCTAAAAGAGTGTCTGGTACATAACAGATGCTCAATAAATGTTTGTTGAACGAACTATAAATCTATGAATGAATGAATTATATGATTCTAAAGAATACATTAGAATGAAAAATATGAGTAACATTTAACCAAGGTAAGGCACTGTATGTATGACCCTAGACACGTCAATTTACCATCTGGGACCTCAATTTATTCATTTGCAAATCAAAGGTCAGATCTCATCAGCTCTTCAGTCTTAAAAATTCACCATGGAATTTACACCATCATTTACTGTCAGTCATTATTCTCTGTGCAGAAATACCTTTCACATTTCCATTAGCTGGTCAACAACAACTCCTGACATATTCTTCACTTCATTTTTCCTTTTGACTTTGTGATTTGAAAGTAAGATTTAAAAATGAATAACACAAGAAATAGGCACATATTAGACTCAGTCCCAAAGGAGAGTCAACTGTAACCACTGCATGAGAATAGAAATATGGCAGTTGGTATCCAAAATTTCTCTATTCTTTTAAATGACACCTTCTCTCTCTTCATTTCTAATTGTTTTTAAATTTTCCTTAATTTGACCTAGTTTCATAGTTATGTGAAAATGCTATGCTCCTAGAGCCTACTCTCATCCACTTGAAAAATAACATAGGTTGGACATATTCTTTAGTTTCTACTGGCCCATTTATAATAATTTGTCTACATTTCATATTTTTTTATTTGCCTAAAAATTGCCAAGGATAACAATTAAATTAAGCCACAAGCTCCCTAGTGAATGGAAGGTAAGACTAATGATTAGTGCTTGACTTAGGGGATAATGAAGGCTAACAGGAGCAAGTTTTAGCTGGCATTGATGGCAAGTGTCAAATTAATGGACTAGACAGAATGATTTCACTGACTCTCTGAAATGGTATTTTCCTTTTGTAGTTCAGAGTATCACACGTGCACCGCACACACACACACACACACACACACACACACACACACACACACACAGAGATATAGTTCTAAAAATAAAGCTATGTATAGTCCTTCTTGACTTGCCCCTCCAGAAATAAAGAACCTAGGATCTGAACTCCAAAGTACATGACAGTCTGCTTATGTAAGCAGACTGCTTGGTACAAGAAGTACTAAAAATTGCTTAACCAGTTCAGTAGTCATCTACAATTAAGCAACACCCAGGGAACAGAAGTCTTATTCTTATAAGTAGATGTTGCCCTATTTGAGTAATCCCTTTCCTTCATATAATCACACCTGAGACTGAATTTAGGGTGCTTGACTCTCCCTACCCTCTTGTAGGAAGAAGGTTACCTAAGGAGAACTACATTAACTCTTTCATCTTAATAAGGATTCGAAAGAAGTTTTAGCTCAAAATCTTTTTCAAAGTATTCATTACAAGAAAACTCTTTAATAAAAGATCCCCAAACCTAAGCTGATTCATTACAAGCAAATGTTGGATGACCCGGATTCCAGTAAAATAGAACAAAGTAGATAGTCCCTAGAGAATGTTGTGACAACGTATGTTCTAAAAATAACCAGTCTCCATCTATGGTCTTATGAAATTCTTTCAAGTCTTGGTCCAGATGTCTCTAAACCTCAGCTCAGAAGCTAATTGTGTCCCTTTCACTACAATCAGTAACTACACATATTTAACCAGTTTTGGTCCAACATCTGATTTTATTAACTTAGCTAAGGCTTCACCCAGCTGAAGCAAGAGGCTGTGCTTGAATAATATGCCCTCTGCCCCAATTCAAACACTTGGGGCTCAATTGCACACAAGTTTTGTGTCATCTGGAATTAAATCTCTTTAGTAGCAAAACACAATGAATTATTGATATAATAAGTGGATTCAAAAAGTACTATGATTCAAATGATAACAAATACAAAAGATATCTAATGTTTCCTATCTTTCTTATTTCAAATCCATCTTCTGTACTGCTTAACTCCGGACCAGACACCTTTCCTCTTTATACTCAAAAGACGTAGAATTATTTTGAAGAGTGCAAGATTCACAATCCAAAGAAATTTATCTAAACTCACATAACAAATTAATGAGACTCATGACAATGGATTCTGATTATTGAGACAGAACTGGCCCAAACTGCATAGATTATGGGAACATGGAGTTTGCTCCTTCCTAGCTACATTCCAAATATGTATGACAGGAAAATGCTACTACAAAGATGGGTGGCCATCCCCTTTCCTGATGACCCTCACAAAGCTTGTGTGTCCTCTGATTGTGGTGAAAAGGATACAGTTAGCTTCCGGACTGAGGTTTGGAGACTTCTAGACCAGACTGAAAAAATTTCATAAAAAGACCATGGTTAGAGATTGATTATTTTTAGGACGCCTGATGACAAAGCACAGAGAATCGAAGGAGTGATCAATCTAACCATTAAGTCCTCAAAGTCTGTTGATATCCCAGTTCACCTCAGGGCTTGGTTCGTGACTCCCACATTTTTACCTTTACCCCCACATCTCTTCTATAAGACATTGTCCTCTGGGTGATCCACAGGCATCTTAACTTGGCAAAACTTGTTTCTCAAGTTGGGGACTGATTATTTCAGTACATGGGTTTTCAGTTCTACCCAACAACGTGAAATAGGTAATGCAAATTGTCTTTGAAGTTAAATCTTGATAAAAACACAATAAGGGTTTGAGAAAGGTTCCCCTCAGTTACTATGTAGGGGAAAGCTTCTCCTGAATTTTACAGTGCTCAGACTAATACTGTCAACTATTGGAATAATAAAACCAGCTTTGAGTAACATCTGCAAAAAGAATACTGAATCACTATGCTGTATACTTGAAACTAATGTAATATTGTAAGTCAACCATACTTTAATTTAAAAAAAAAACAACTTTCCTTTTTCTGATTTTTGTTCACCACTCCTTCCAGCCTTTGCTTTTCTCACTACGTGGAATATTGGTCTCAATGTCCTTTACTACACAAATTCCTACCTCGCCAAACAAAACCCTTCAGAACATGGTCTGTTGCCTATCTTATAGTAGGTGTTCAAAAAACACTGAACATCAAAAACATAAATGGTTTTTGAATGAAGGAGTGGATGAATGAGAAAGAGAATCTGAAGAGTTCTTAAAGGCGCCCGGAAGCAGTTTAAGCTCTTTCGAGGATGGTGAAAGATGTGGCAACATATTTCTTCTGCCAGAGTATAAGGGATTTCACATAGCATCAGCAGCTCTGAAGAAAAAGGTCAGATGAATCACAGGTGTATTTCAACACACTTAGGGTATTGTAATAGGCTACTTTCCATCTTTCTTAAAGGAAGGTAATGTAATTAACATACTCTGGTATGTGTCTCTCCCCCTGGTCTTGGTGGGTTGAAGGGGGATATAAACTTGAGGCTACAAGGGTTTAATTACAGGTTTTTGTTTAAAAGACTTGCTCACTAACTGTCACGGACTTACAATAAGGTAAACATTTATCAAAGTTACAAAGACAAAGAGAGAAAAAAGTAAAAACTAGAAGCAAGATTCTACTAAATAAATTACTAAAATACAGTCATTTTACTAGGAAAAGGCAAAATGAACTGCATTTGGATTATACTCAAAGATAAACTATACTTGAATTCTCTGATTTCTTGGGGTAGTATTATTTTACTTTTTATTTTATTTTACAGGAAGTTTCTCATTTTGAGAATGCAAAACCAGAAAGAAAGTAAGTCAAATTTACTTTGAAAACTTTATGTTCTCTTAGTTCGACAATGTTGAATGGACTATTTTAGTGGGTTTCCTGTCAAAGTGCTTTTTTAAAAATCGTCATGTACAAATCTAGGTATGCTTTACCCTGCTAACATTTATGTTTATGCTTATGCTTAGGAAACTTGTGTTGTGACATTCCTGTAGACAGGGATGTGAAAATTAAATTTTCAGAAGAAGAAACATGTGTCTAAACTAGGCTCAGATTAAAGTGGAAGCCTACTGGAAAACATGTTTCTATCGGTGAACTATTAATCTTCTGGAGTTCTTCTAATCCAAATAAAAATGTGTTTGCAAAGAGATTTGGGTTATTTAGGTCAGGCTTGGCTTTATATTCAGCACATCAAGCTGTCAGAGGACGTGACACACACATGTTGCATAAGGTAATGGGATTTTTAACTAATAAGCAGGAAATACATAGCAGCAGGAAGTTGGTTTATGGGGAAATTTCCAGATTGGTTGCTGAAGATACAGAAGAACGGCTTCCTTGCACTCTGGAATGGTCTGAGACAAAATTGTTAACATGTGGAGTTCTTTCTGGTTGTAGTCTTTTTTGACAGCTCTTGCCTCTCCTCCTCCCCCAACTACTTCCTCCCACAAAACACTTTGTGCTTTCATAGTCTTTCCTTCCTTTCCTGCTCAAAGCTTTCTCCCAGTAAGGATATAAAATGCAGCCATAGTAAGTAGATAATTTCATGATTAACAGTTTAGAGCACCTGCCAGGCAAGGGTAGTTGCATTTTAGTCATAGTTACCTACTTAAACTACCTCAGTGGCATTTTAAGCATGAATGGGAAAGAGGGTTTTTTTTAGCAGGGTTCTTCTCAGTCTTAAAAATCGCCCCACCTATGTAGCTGTTTATTCTATCCATGGATAAGGAACTCACTCATCCCAAATCAAAGACTTAAACAAAATTACAGCCATTGGCTGACGATTGATGCTTCTACAGATTAGATGATACCTAAACATGGAGGGGCAGAAGGAATTAGGAATCCTTAATTATTAGGATTAATTAAGGATTAGGAATTAGGAATCTTCAAACATAAGCCAAATCAATTAACACGCTCCTCGGATTCCAACCAGTTAAAGTTGAAGACTTTCCCGAGTTCCTCAATTCTTTTGTCCATCACTCCCCTGAAGGGAATAACCTCTCCTGTCATTATGCACCTACTTCACTTTATAATATTATAAGTAGCTTTATTGGGAACACCTGTTACTTCCCAAGAGTTGTCCTGAATGAGCATTTTGCATTAAAAAATTAAAACAAACCAAAATAAAATGGTTAAGAAAAAAAGAAACATTATATATGTAAGTTTTTGCTTACAACCCTGAGCTTAAAAAAAAGGTGAATAATGGAAAACACTCCAGCTCTAACAAAATTATTTACATGTACACTATGTGTGTGTGTTCACCCAATGTGTAAATTGATTAACATAATCAAGTATCAATTTATAGTCAATCTTATTTCATCTCTACCCATCTGACTCCCCACTCCCACCCCCCTCACTGGGTTTTGTTTAAAGCATATCAGACAATTTCATGTTCCAGTATATCATTAAGAAACAAGAATTGTTTCTTTTAAACATAACCACAACACCACAGCCGTACTAGAACAAAATAAGAAAAATAACCTAATATCACCAAGTATACAGTCAGTATTAAAATGTCTCTGATAGCCTCGAGAGCTTTCTTAACAGTAGCTAATTTATTTGAATCACGATCCAAAGAAGAGCCATGTGATGCATTTTGTTCATGTTTCTTAATTTATAGGTTTTTCTCCCCATTTATTTGCAGAAGAAACTGGATTATTCGTTCTGAGGAATTTTCCATATTTTTTAATTTTACTGATTGCATCCTTGTGTGTGTGTGTGTGTGCGTGTATATGTGTGTGTGTTTGTGTGTGTTTTAAACATATGTTCTCTCTTCTGTTTCCTGTAAATTTTTAGTTAGATCTCCAGGCTTGATAAGATTCAAGTTCGATTATCTATCTATATATATTTTAAAAGTAGGTCATCAGTGACTGTATATTTCCTGTTGCATTACATTGGAAGCTCATATATCTGGTTGTCTCTATTTTTACAACTGTGAATTTGCTTAGTGGGTTCAGATGGTATCAGACTGATCCATCCAGCACTAAGTTGCCCATCGGCCTTTCAATTAAAAACTTTAACAGCAACTGGTAATTATTGCCCCGATTTATTGTTTCGTTAGGGATTGTACAATAGTTATATTCAATTTGCAATGTTCTTTGTGTATTTATTGAATAGAATTATTTGAAAAAGAACTTTCCCATATGAACTATTTGATTATCTTGAGATGCATTCATGTAGAAATGGCCTACCCTTTTTTTTTTTTTTTGCAGGGGTAGGGGTGGTGAGATTTATGAAAGTTAGTTTCTTCATATTGCACGGAAATTTCCAGGCAATATGTATTAACTGTACTTTGCCATCCAGAGTCAGGAAGATTCAGGCCCATATGTAGAACTTAGAATTTATTCCTGCTCTCCAGGACATTGCACGCATGTCTAAGTGATCTAACTTCTGTTCACTTAAAATATAAATTATTAAATCTAGACTTAAATATTGGTTTCTTTTTTTTTCTAGGTCAATCCGGAGATCTATGTCTGAAAGCAAAGTATTTGGTTAGTAATTCATAAGATTACTCACGCAAATGATATGTTCTCTTTCTCTAAGAGTGATTTTCTGCTGCTAAGGCCATAAAGCAACAGAAAGTAATGGATGAAAGTCAAATTGATTTGTCTTTGAATTTTATAGAAGAAATTTTAAAAAAAGAAATGTGGTTCCATTCTAATTTTAAATGGCTAAGACAAATAAACCATTGATTTATTCAGAATAATTTCCTTTTATATTAAAAAAAATAATTCTTTTTGGCTTATTGGCTGACTATCTTCCAATTTCCCAACTTTAGCTTGGAAGGTCCATGGTCAAGATGATCTCTTAGATATCTTTTCATATCTAGGAATCTAGGAATGAATAAAAAAGAAATAAAAAATGGTTGAATTATGAAAGACTTTCCTCAGCATTTCAAGCACCAGAGCTTTTCTTCAGTTTCTGTGGTTACAGTACCCATAGTAATAATAGGGGCAATGGGCTTGATTTGTATTTTAATTTTAAAGTAAATATCTAATTATTTTTAGAAAGGTAATGGAAGATATCTCTCTTTCCTTGACAGAATATAGAAAAATAGAACGTTTTATACTAATTATAAAACATTTGTAGTGACAAAACAACTGGATTATTCAGTTAATAATTCATTTTTTATGCAGTTCATCAAACTTGTGGGTACCCTTTTTCCCCAGCAGCACCTAGAAGTTGGACGCTCAAATGCCCTTTTTCCTCTTTTCAAAACCAGGTTCCTGGATAGGGTATGAAAAGCACACTCAGGCCAAAGTCATGATCACCCATGGATGCATCTACCAAGGGCATCTGCATTTTAATTGGGTCTGATATTCTTCCAGTGGCAACATCTACAGGGGCTGAGTCCCAATCTCATTAGTCAAGGCCCTGTGGGCAGTAGTTGCTCAATATTTTGAATACTAGCCCTGATTTGAATAGTGCATGATCTGAAATAAAAGGAAGTAGTCACTCTTTTATTTTCCATTTATATATGCCCTTCTCATAGCATATTCAGTTTGTGCACGTAGGACTCTAGATGTGTCCATGCTAATATAATTCTTGATGATCACCTGCCTTCTCTGTAGTCAAATATGAGAGCAAATACTGACTTTCAAAACAGCACAGCATGCTGAGTTTGTGTGATGCTTTGTCGCATTATTTAAAATTTGCTTTATCAGTGGTGTGATACAGCATGTGGGATGATTAGTCTTCAGTAAACAGATTAGAAGGGATTCCAGTTCTTTATTCTGGTGCAGTTCACTTCTTTACAGCATGTCTAGACCCTGCTCCACGTGTTAGAAGGACAAGTCTGGGAAAATCATGGTTCTCCCAGTCAAGGATCTTAAGCGTTTCTTGAAACAACTCAATGTGCTCTCTACACGCTTACTTAATCATTTTGTTAAAAACAGTGAAAAGGGCTTCCCTGGTGGCGCAGTGGTTGAGAGTCCGCCTGCCGATGCAGGGGGCACGGTTTCGTGCCCCGGTCCGGGAAGGTCCCACATGCCGCGGAGCGGCTTGGCCCGTGGGCCATGGCCGCTGAGCCTGCGCGTCTGGGGCCTGTGCTCCGCAACAGGAGAGGCCACAACAGTGAGAGGCCCGCGTACCGCAAAATAAAAACCAAAACAGTGAAGAATGTGGAGGGTGGAGCTACTTTAATTGATGTATAAAAAATAAATGGTTATTAATTCAAGAAAAATACTCCAAAGAATAATGTAATCAAAAGCTATCAAGAGGTATTTCAGTAGCAACCTTCTACCATCTATGCTTGAGTGCTTATGTAGTTTATGGAAATAAATGGGAGCCCACAGAACATCTGGGAGTGTCCATCAGGGACCAGAACTTCCCAGAATGGACCACAATGCTTTCTTTTTTTCCCGCTGCGGAGCACAGGCTCGGGACGCGCAGGCTCAGCGGCCATGGCTCACGGGCCCAGCCGCTTCGCGGCATGTGGGATCTTCCCTGACCGGGGCACGACCCCGTGTCCCCTGCATCGGCAGGCGGACTCTCAACCACTGCGCCACCAGGGAAGCCCCACAATGGTTTCTTAACATATTACTTACCAAGTTACAACCGTGTGCTGAACTTGTTTTGATATCAAATTTCTTACACAGATGTTACCGTGAATTCTTCTAACCAATCTTCTGCTTTGCTTTAGAGGGAAAAACTGTGAATGACACAACTTGGCAGGAACCCAGCAAGCCTGAGAATGATTCCATCAGAAGACTCTGTCAGCTAAAAGGTAATTGCTAAATTTAGTTCAGCTGACTTTGCATTTTCCCAAAGCAGTTTAAAGGGCAGGTAAGAAAAATTTACATCTTTCTTCATTAAAATAAGCAGTGCACTGTGGTCTACTTAAAAAGGAAAAACTAATAGAATAGAATGTATATATTATTAATAGAATATATACGTGTGTGTGTGTGTGTGTGTGTGTATAGATACACACAGACATGCAGAAAGGAAGTAGAATGTAATTAAGTTGCCTGTTGAAGCAAAGAATCAGTTGCAAAAATATTTGAAAGTCTTTAATGTCTAAAAGAATGCAAAAATATATTAACAGTTGTGATTTTTAGGTTTTCTTTAAGAATTTAAGAGAAATAAACTTGACTATTAATGCAAAATTATATCATTTTATGATTTAAAAAATCCCAAGAAAAGCAAATTAGCAGTCAGGTATAGGAAAATGTATTAATAATAAAAGACTTCATAATTAAAATTACTTAACTTTGGGAAGGTAATGAATAAAACAGAAAGTCATAAGAGTTCAGAAAGATGAACAAGAACATAAAAAGTTGATCTGCTTGGTATTCACCTTCCAATGTTACTGGAACAAGAAATAATTGCTCATATTAGTTATTGATTATTTAAGAGTTTCTGATTTTTAATTTTAAAAGATTTTTTAATATTTGGGGACAAAGGGAATTATAATGTATTTTTATAGTCAGGAATTTAATGGTTTGATTATACACTCTGTTCAGATTTTGCCTTTTGAGCTCCATGAAGGAGCTCATAGATTTACAAAGTAATTATTTATGAAAATAATCATTTTCCTTTGAAATATATCAATTTTATCCAAGATTGAATAATGTTTTGGTAAATAGTTTTAACTTAATTTTTAAATATTCACAGATTTCTCCATTATAAATAAATAAATAGGTGAAACATTTTGGGATTATTTTAGATATTTTCTTTTAATTATAGGAAATCTTTTATTAATATTGTGTTTTGATTGGATTCTCTCTTCACCTCATGAATGCTAGCTGTATTCATTCACACCTCAGTTAGTTAATCAAACATTCATCCACCCATCCATTCATTCATCCATCTCTTTAATAAGCACGTGTTACTTTTAGATTATTGTACATTAATCTGTGAATAAAGAAGGTATAACTATATTACAGATTATTTTTAGTCATAAATTTTGCCATAAAACTCTTCAAGTATTCTATTTTCTTTAACATCCTTTTTGTAAAATGCTGTGGGTTTTGTTTTTGTTTTAAATTTAGCAGGAGTAGGTAAGTAATTCTATTATAGCTACACTGACAAAGCAGCAAAAAATCTTGGCCTGAGTTGAGGTGCTTCTGATTAGTGATCTTTTCATTGTCAGAGAACAAAAAAGAAAGCCTTTAAAGAAGACTTTTCAGCTTTGATATTTCTCAGATTTTTAAGCACCCCTGTGTTCAGTCTGTGTATGTGTGTGAGTGTGTGTGTGTGTGTGTGTGTGTGTGTGTGTGTGTGTGTGCGTGTGCCTAAGAAGTTCAGCTGACATTTCAGCAGTACCAGCTGAGTCACAGGACATTTCTTAGGGATTAATGCTGTGCTAGAAAGAGTTGATGGCCTGAGACCAAGGCTGTCGGTTCCATTGTAAATTGTAGGGAGACATTTAGTGGGAGAGGGAGAGCCACAAGTTGTGGACTTGAATTTTATGGGTGTAGTAGTTTCCTTTGGAAGGCTCAGAGTATTTCTAAGCAACCTGTGCCCTACATATCAACCTATAATATTTCTTTCTCATTTTAAGCCCTACTATTTAGCTGTTAATTGCATAATTACTTAAGAGTGGTTTACCGGGCCTGAGGATAGGCAGACTGTGAAGTTTACTGAGGTGAAGATAGGTAGGTGCATTGTTACCACCCACAGCCCGTGTTTTTATTGAACACTAATGATGAAATTGTAAAGACCATCTTTCAATAAAACAGAAGAAAACCTATAGGGAAATGATAGGAGTGACATAAACTCCTAAAGAATCTATTACATACTTCAAGAACCAAAAAAGTCCATTCCTCTCAATTTCAATATCAAAATGGTCTTTCCACATGACACAAGTTATATTAACAGCAATTCAGTCCTGAAGAGTATTGAGCCTGATGAACGAAACTGCCACAGGCTATATTTAGCCAAGGATTTGTGCCTGGTATTTTAATCCATAAAGATATTCGCATACCCCAATAACATGATTATGTTATGTTGCTTAAGACAAATTTTATCACAATAGTTGAGAGCCAGAAGCATTTTTAGTTTCTGTAGTCCATTTCCTTCTTCTAAGAATACTTTCATCTAAATCTACATCTGTGATACTGGGACTACATCTGTAAAATACATGCAGCTTAAATTGAGTGTTCGGGACTTTACAACTGAAAGATTGGCATAATTTAGGTATCAAGGCAAATTAATCTATAATTCATGTTAATTGTTTTATTTTTAGCATTCTAAACAGGCAGAATATTCATAATATTCATTTTAGTAAAATTAAAATCGATTTTAAAAATCTTTAAATTTATTTTGGCCTTAGTTTTATGGGGGGGAGAAAAGCCTGAAAAGAATAAACTTTGAAATCTATGAATTGGAATTTACCCAAGATCAAGTTATGATTTAAGTAAAGATATCTTCAAGAACAGGGTTTTCATTATTTTATACTAAAAAGTACAAAGAATAAAAACAAAGCAAAATTTAAAAAATGGTAAAGGAAACAAAACGCACTTGGAGATTCAGAGATTTTTTTCAAATGGTGTTCCTGTGATAGACTATTCCATGAAACAGAAAATATGTGAAAATAATTGGCTGTGTTTGTAGAGGATATAAGGGGCTGGATACATTCAGGAAACATGGTTAGTGATGGAAGGAAAGTTAACGCTACTCATGCTGCTGCAAAATTATTTTTAAAATGAATCCTCTTTACATATGATTTTGATGAGATTCATTATATAAACCACATTGGTAAAGACATTAAGACCTTCCAGTCTAACACTGGAGTTACCATTAGTTTGAAAGATTCTTTCTTGAATTCTAGTCAATATCATTATTTGGCCAGCCTTTCCAGAGTAAGCATAAGCATATAAATATTTCAGTTTAACTTCTCGAGATCTTATTCAGTCTTCTTCTTTACTGGCTGATACCCTCATTTTCAAGATGGTGAATGTATAGAGTCACAGGTGCATTTATCGTTCTGCTTAATTTTCAGGGACCACAATTTGACTGAGACATTATTTCCCAAGAGCATGTACTTTAACTCTGTTTAGACTGGACTACATGAGGAATGACAGGGAGAAGTCTGATCTCACACCTGAATGTCTGCTTCTGATGTGGGAATAAACTTCCTAAGCAAAGGCTGCTTGCCACAGCAGGCCTCTTTTATTTCTAAGGAAGCCTTTCTGAATTGAATGACAAGAACACTCTGAGTTCTAGTGTTTTATACAAATGAATCTTGGTATCCCTTCAATTCTTTAGGAGAGTTCTTACTAGAATTATAGTTACATGAGTATGGTCCGAAGTCTAATTTCCATTAGAATCACCTAGAAGCTGATTAGAGATATTGCTTTTTTAATCAAATCCCATTTTTTTTTTCTGCATCTGCATTTGAAGGGCAGTTGGAGTCTGAATGTTTATGCTGGAAGATACATTCTTACGTACACTGTCTTTTGTGACCTGCTGATGTAGTTCATGCATGTACAGATAATCTATTGCTACAACAAACCACCCCAAAACGTAATGACGTGAAGCAAAATGGTATTCGGCTCATGGATTTTGCCAGTCAGAGATTCAGTCAGGGTAGTGCTTCACAACGTCTGAGGCTTCCTCTAGGAAGACTTGAATGACTGAGGCTGGTGGCTGGAGTCATCTAAAGGTTTCTTCACTTACATGTCTGGTACTTGTCTGGGATAACTTCAGGTTGGGCTCAGCTGGGACTGTCAACTGGAGAACTAATATGTGGCCTCTCCATGTAATTTGAGCTTTTCCCAGGCTAAAGCCTGGGTTTCAGGAGGGAAAGACATGAGAGGGAGCTTCACACATCACACAAGGAAGTGTCTTGAGAGTGAGTATTACAAGAGACCCAGGTAGAAGCTGCCAGCCTTCTTCTGACCCAGACTTAGAGGTCACAACACATCACTTCCACTGCATTCTCCTGTGACAAGCAAATCACTATGGCCAGTTCAATTCAGCAGAAGGAGAATTAAACTCCATTTCTTGGTGGAGGAGTGCTAAGGTCACATTGCAGAAGAACATGTGCTATGGGAGATATTGTTGTGGCTGTCTTTGGAAAATATAACCTGCATATTGCCTAATTCAACTATTGCCTTTGTTGCTCTTCGGACCAAATTGCTCCTATCTTTATAAATGTTTTTGGCAGGGTAACATTTGGGAGGTTAGAAATAAATGAAATGTATAAGATTACAAAACAAAGAGTTAATCTTCATAAAATGCCATTTTCCTGGTGTCCCTTTCTTCGTCCAAAACCCTCATAAATCTCCCATTTTTTAAGCAGAGGCCACAAATGGGTAGTTTTGGAAATAAATTTATTTTGAGAAAAAGCTTGTTTAGGCCGTACAGTATTTTAAAAATCAAGAAATTTTACCTTAAAATTCATATATTTATACTCTATTGAGAAACATGAGGGACATTGCCAATCCTGGGTCCAAGGTCTGAGGTGATTTCTGTTGAGACAGCTGAGAACAATGGCTGCCTGTTAGCAATGGCGGACGGACCTTCACCTCACCACAGATCTCCCAATGTCTCCTTGACAAAATTCACTTCATTGAGTTAAATTACTTATTTGCCTTCTGTAGATGTTTATATTTGCAGCACTGGTCTCGTGGGTTATGTCCACATTCCTCCACCTGGCACTCAAGGTCCATTGCCATTTGGCCTTACTCACCCACCCAGGCTCACCTCCTCTTGTGCAATATCTAGAACTGCCCTCTCACGTGACCAATCTCAATTTCTACATTTAATTCAACATGTTCCACTTATTCCACACTATAGGCTAGTGTTCACAGTATTGCTGCTGTATCTAACTATTCCTTTTCTTCTGCCTTTCCAAACAATCTCCATTCTTCAAGCTTCCACTGAGGCCCTGCATCTTCTGGGGGTACTCTGGGTCCTGGTGCTCTCTTCCCACCGTAGTGTATGAATCACTCATCTTACTGCCTTGCACTATTATGGAAGTGATATAAATGCATTGTGCCCATCCCTCGCTCTGTGGCTTCCAGTTTCGAGAGTACAGGAGTCTACTTCACTGGTGTTTTCCTGAGCCCAAAAGAGTAATTATAGAGGGAGCTCTCCAAAATTCAGTTTCGAGGGATCACAAAAAAGAAAAGAGTTGAAAAGGAATATAGGAACAGAGGAAAGATTTTTTTTTTTCTAAGTACAGAAAATAAATTAAAAAAAAAAGGTGTAAAAACTCTGTTTCTACCATTCTGACTGTGTGACGGCAGATCTGTCTTCAAAGAGGCAGATCACAAAACCAGCTCATTTTAAAATTTCAGCATTTTCTGGAGCCCTGTAGTGTGGTGACTCTGATGTGAAATATTAACTAGGTGGTGTAAATAATTCTGAGACTGAGCTGTGAATTTAATATATCTTTTAACCATAGCTATAATGGGGATGGGGGGATAAACCTGCTTCTGTTTTTCACTATGCGTGGAAGGTAGGCCTTGCCTCTTCCTTCCTCCCCCTCAGAATACAAGAATGAGGAATAGTGGAAACTTGAAGTAGTAGTAGTGACTGGAAGTGAAAGGGAGTGAAGGTGAAAGAAAAAGTCATTGGCCTGGAGGCCAGGTGATTTCTGTGGGTCTCAGTATCCTCATCTGTAAACTACGGGGCTTGGAGTAAGTGATCCATGAAGTCCTGTCTTCTTTTAGCGCACTGTGTATGTCAGATTTATATAAATGGAGCCCGTTTTACAGGGCCTGAAAGGGAAATGCTGCTATCTTTTGAAAAGGTTTCATTTAGCTGCAAGCAAATGGATGACACACTCCAAAGCTTTTACCAAAGCAGGCAGAGAAGAATTTCAACATAAATAATTCATGTTGAGAAGACATAAGCTAATGAAGCTCAAAATGCCAGGGATGGAAAGCTCGGTTTAACAGAAACAAGTGAGGTGATAACATTACCTCATAGCATTTTGGAGTTAGAAGTGGTTTAGTAGCTCAGATGCTACTCTTTTATAAGTGGGAAGGAAACTGAGTCCCAGAAAAGTTCTATGGCTTGCTCAAGGACACAGCTGGTCAGAGGCATCCTTTGTTTTTTTTTTTTTTGTTAAATTTCTATTTTACTTTGATTGGTTTCTTATAAGAACAGTGTATCTTTAAGAAAGTAAACATTCATGGTCTAGTCAATATAAGGCCTTAATAGACTAAAGAAAAGTTTTTAGGTATTCAATTGCACTTAAACTTTTAAATCTTGTAATTTCTGATAATCTCTGTGTAACGCTTACCTCTTTTCATAGATCTAAATGAAGATGATTTTCTTTTGAGTAATAATAGACATACTCTTCAAGGAAAAAAACTCCAAGGCATTTCTTATCAGGTAATGTAAATAATCAACATTTACACGGTTTGGTGAAAATCATCTTGTTATTGATTTGTACGTGGTGTACAATACTTAGCTTTGTAGCTATTTTGTATTTAGTTACTGCAGGCTGTTTTGTAATTCATATGCTTATGTCTCTGTGAATTGGAATATAAATGAAAAAATTAAATGATGACGAGTTAATAAACCATTTTGATTATGCAAAACATCATGCTCTATAGCCTTTTGATAAGTAACTCTGAACTTGATAAATTAATATACTGGGATTTTCTCTGGCAAAACCTGTGCTAAGTGTTTAGAACTCTCTGGCAATCTTCAGTGAGGGGCATGTCCCTCACGTTTTATGCTTGATGTAAAAACATATACTGTGATTTCTGACATAGCCCTTTAAAACTTGCATTAATTAGCCCAGGAGTTCAAGCAATTAAGCATGTCTGAACCTTGGGCCTCCCTAATAATAACAACATAGCATTAATTAACAGCCAAATCATTGCTATTCACCCTGTAACAAAAAATCATATATGAGTCAATAGGGCCAACTCAGTCATCATACTGATTTTTGATATTTTTCTCACAGCCATAGGGTTCTCTTTAATCATTCTGATGGTTTTATTAGAAAATTTAGAACTGACCTTCCTCAGCACAGTAGATTGATCCATAGGCAGATGGTAGGTAGCATATGAATTATGAGGGGTTGATTTGGTGAGGAAAGGGAACTCAAATTCCTAAATCCAGCCTGATTTCTGAGGCTGTCGGAGGTCCTCCGATGAGTTAGACAGTGGACCGTAACTTTTGATCAAGCACAGCTCCTGCTGGCTGCTCTGATGCCGCCGGAGTTACAGAACTATGCTCCCGAGAGAGGGCTGCCGCGCCAGCTTGCACTTTGCCGGGAAGTCTGTCAACCAATGGGTTCTCCTGCAGTGGACGGTTGAGAGCTCTGAAAACAGACAGAGCTCTGCTGGAGTCTTAGTTTGGCCCTCGCAGCTATATGACCTTGGGCAATTTACTTCATCTCTCGATGCCTCAGTTTTCATCATCTGTAAAATCAATCTATAAAGAACCTATATCTCATGGCTGTCATGAGGATTAAGTGAAATACTTCATTAAAGCACTTAGCCTCATGGCTGGCATTTAAGAGATGTTTTTAAAAATTTAGTTGTTGTTAGAGAGCCTCGTCTCTTCTCTTTCCCCTTCCTTCTCCTCTTACTCTTTGCAAGAATTTAATGACCCTTTCACGAGCACAGCTGGTAGATTATCTCTGAAACACGCAGTCTCATCCTCCCAAATTTAGATGAGCTTAAGTGAAACACTGTCTGATAGCAAGGAAAAAATAACAACTGGTTTATAGTAAGAGCTCCCCTGACATGTTTTGTGCCCAGAGGAATTCTTCTTTAGGTCTTTAGTAGAAAAATAGAACTATCTCTTAGAAATAAGAAAATGATATAGAACATTCTTAGACTAAAGGGTTAAAGGTAAATCTTTAACACCAAACTTTCTGTACAGTTTAATTGGCTAAGAAATGATTCTTCTAGAATGGTAACCGTTCAAATGTACTATGTAGTTTATCACTAAAGATTAGTTGAGGGAATTCATACCCAGTGACAGACAGGCAGGAGCTATCTAATCTAGAAATCTTCATTTGAGAGTTGGGAGGTGATCTTATCTATCTTTAATATCCCTCTTCTTATTCACAGTAGGCATTCAGTTGAGCTTAGTTAATTAAGAAACACTTTTTCTGTATGACAGAATACTTCAGTGTAACAGAGTATTATTAAATATTAAGCAGCGCTATGAAAATTATTAATATATTAACTCCTTGTGACTGAGGAAAAGAAAAGTAGAAGCAGTTTACCCTTTGAAAGATGAAGGAGAGAGGGAACCATTCTCTGGTGAGAAGGGGAAACTGGCCCTTTGGTGGAATCCATAAGAATGGACCTTGGCACAGACTGTGGCCTCTCATCATGTGAGCAAATGACTTACCAGAGCATCGTTTCTCCAAGTGTGGCCTGGGGACCATCTATATCAGAATAACTTAGGGTATTTTTTTAAAATGCAGATTTCTGGGCCACACCCCGGTCCAACTGAATTATCATGTCTGAGGTCCAGGAATCAGTATTTTTATGTGAGTTTTCAGAGGAGGCTCAGTACGTGAACCATGAGACTCTGGGAACCAGATAGTTGATGAGAACTTGTCTGCAGACTTGATGTCTCACGTATTTTCACTTCACAAGCCCCAACTAGGTTCAGGTCTGGTCTGGGAAGAGAACAGCCTCCTGGAAAAACCAAAGTTGAGAGTTGTTCCGTATTACAGGAATGATATGCATTCATTACAGAACTTTTTAGAACTATATAAAAGTAGAAAGGATCAAAATACTGAATAATATCTTAAAAGGGTGAATATATTCATATCACTGGCAATTTTACTGAATATCATTAACATGGGATAAATTTCATAAGATGTAAAACATATTATAGTTATTATTACCCTAGGACCATGCCTACAAAATATATTTTGGACAATACAAACATTCAGAATAAAAGATTTAAACATGAATTGAATTTCCAGCCAGAGTACATTCAACCAGACATGTTCCCTTAATGTTCTCAAACTGAGAAGATGATCTCAGAAGTAAAAGAAAGTACAAGGAACCAAGTGGCCGGAGTGGGGGAAGATGTTTATGGAATGCTTTCTCTGATACTGACTTTACTCCGTGAATATTTTTGTCTACTTGGCCTGGGATTAGTTTGTTGGAGGACCAGGCTTGCACGAGAAGTGCTCAAGGGGAGAGTTTGAAGCAAAGCCAGCTGCCTGGTACTGTGATCATTATAACGACCATAAAGAACATCTTGCGGCAACTTGACTCCCAGCCTTGATTTTTGTATCCTTGTTCTTGTTTGTTCTTTTCCGGCAGCATTCAGTTGATGGCTCAAACCTTCTGTAGCATATTGAAAAGGGTATAAAATATGCAGTAATACGGACTTTGGGCTAATATATTTTCAAAAATGTTTCATGCCTCATTTCTCATGTAAATTCTTTGGTTGCATTCAGCCTTCAGAGCACCATTCATATTCATGATATAGAAGAAGGATAACATTTATTACTTTCAGTGCTAGTGGTATTCAGCAATGTCAAGTACCTCCAGCCAGGAATGCACCAAAACATTTTCTCCCTGAGCAACTTCCGTGGAAAAAGTGTTGCTGAATGAATGAATTTTTTAAATATTAAAATAAATATTTATACACAATATAATTATAAAATATATAAATATATTTATATATTTATTATATATTTACATGTAAATATATAATAAAAATATATTTTATTATATCTATTTACATGTAAATATATGTTTATATTTTTATAAAAATATATGTATATTCCTCAAAACCTTAGGTTCCCTAAAGTTAGAGTGTTAGATCACTCCATACGCTTTCAATCAATTTCTTTCTTTCGCGGTACGCGGGCCTCTCACTGCTGTGGCCTCTCCCGTTGCGGAGCACAGGCTCCGGACGCGCAGGCTCAGTGGCCGTGGCTCACAGGCGCAGCCGCTCCCGGGCACTCGGGATCTTCCCGGACCGGGGCATGAACCCGTGTCCCCTACATCGGCAGGCGAACTCTCAGCCACTGCGCCACCAGGGAAACCCCCAATCAATCTCTTTCTTGATGTTCTTTTCTATGGCAACTGTAAGGATAAGTATTTGAATTGTCAGCCTCCCCTGCAGTTAGGGGTGGTCATGAAACCCAATTCTGGCCAATGAGATGTAGTCAGAAATGCCTGGGGAGGGCTTTCTTTTTTGAAAAAAAATAAAGCAAAGCTTCATGAGGAGAAAGCTTTGTCCTTTGCCCTTCACCCTCCCTGGAGCTGGAACTTGATATCTGGTAAGTTAGCAGCTATCTTGCAACCCTCAGGGCAAAAGGCACATGTTAAGGATGGTGAAGCAGACAAATGTGTGGAGCATTACTCATCATTGACATTCTTGAGTAACTGCATCAGCATTGGACCGCCTATGTCTGGACTTCTTATTGTGTGGAAATATAAGCCCCATACTTGTTTAAGCCACTATTGTTAGGTTTTCTGTTCCTCAAAGCTGAATGTATTCCTAACTGATATACTTTATTTTTAAAATGGTTACTTCTGCTAATACTGAATCCTAATTGGTTTAAGATATTAGACCCAAACTGTGCTCACAGAGTTGGATGATGTCTGGAATCAGCTCTGACTGTACAATCTAGACTAGCCTCCTTCAATTCTCAAGCAGTGTAATCACCATCTAGAGTTGGGAGTTAGTCATTTAGCCTGTAAGATGAAAATTAGATTAATAACAAAAAATCTATGGACTACATACAGTTCATTGGCTATATATATATACTTAAAACTGTATCCAGTACAGCACAGCATTGTTGGGAAAGGTGTGTATATTAGATCAAAGCAGAATTGCTTTTTGGTGAGCTTAACTGAGGTCATGACACCAAGTGACTAGGGAAGAGCTTTAAGGTTATGCTGTGATCCTCTTGTTAACAAGCAGCAGAGGCAGGTCCCTCATTAGGTTTCATCAGACAACTTTTCTGTGGTTCTAAGCAAAGTTGTGAACAAACCATAAGGCGGGGAAAAAAAGAGGCCAAAATGACAGATTATTTAAATAGCTCCTGAAAGTGTCAACTAAAAAATAGTCTTTACGTGTGATGTGATCACTTAAAGATGAACTAATGATGTTGTGCATTGCTCTTATTTTCAAGTACTTTCTTCTCCATTATATAACTTTAGCTACTATATTATCTGTTGCTGCATAACAAATTACCCCTAAATTTAAGGGCTTAAAACAGCAAACATTTATTATGCCACAGTTTCTGTGAGTTAGGAGTTTGGCAGTGGTAAAGCTGGGTGATTCTAGCTCAGGGTCTCTCATGAAGTTGGAATTAAAATGGCATCTGAAGGCTGCCTAAGCCGAAGGAACTGCTTCCAAACTCCCTCTCGTGGCCGCAGCCAGGAGGCCTC